AGTTTTCATAGATCACAAAAATTCACTTTAGCAAGAATGGACATTAAAGATGTAGCATTTCTATCGATGGTTTAATTTTATTTTGTAAAATGTTAGTGGAAATAAAAACCCCAAAAGTTATGTTAAATTTGAAACGTTTTTGTCAAAAAAAAATTCGGGCATTTCCGTTGGACCTATTATTTAGCATAAATATAAATCATAAACAATTAAATGATTTTTTTTAAGAGATCACGCCTAAACTAGCCCTCTCGAAAACTGCACACAATTTGACTTTATTTTCTTAATTGAACAACATTTTAATTACTTTAAACCGTAAAAAAATGCAATTGCTATATGTTTAATCAATATTTAAACATTTCACTGCTCGATGCAATACTATAACGTTCATTCACAATAGTACTTTGTCGTAGTTCATGTGTACCATGATAACGAAATTTTCAAGGCAGAACATGATCAATTAAATCATTGCTTCATCCTTTACTCTTTCTGTTTTAAAAACCCTACTCCTAAAATATTCCTGACCATTTCAGAATAGATGGTCCTCGTTGTTTTACAGAAAGAGTATGCGCATTGTGTCATAACTGCCCCTTCGCTTTCCAGTTTAATATTTAATCGAATCTTGAAATGAAGGTGATGTAATGTAATGGAACTATGGCCGACTTAGGAAAAACGATATAGCATTCCATTTTCTCCCTTGGCAGCTTGTATTTCGGTGGCATTTTATAGTGTAAACATGTTGTAAAATACGCGGCTTCAATCAGTCTGGGGGTTACATCGAAGTTTCCTTAAGTTAAAAAAAGTATTGCCGGCAGCTATGAAGGGTAGACTTTTTTTAATCAAAAGCCTCTTTCGAAACTGATGCAGGAACTAAATATCTGTTATCAAATTAAACACCCGTTATCAAAGCCTGGTAGAGCAGCTGAAGTGTAACTCTTTGGTATTTCGGACTGATAAAGATTGACTGGCAAGGCGCTACCATCGATTCAACATCAATGTTTTTTTAAATCGTGTTTGGCACTAATATCCGCTCTAGAGTTACTTTGTTGACGTCATAATGCAATTGTGACGTCTCAAATTAAGAAGGAAAACTAACTGATTTAAACACAATACCATGGAAATAGCACGTTAAACCCCCGATGGTATTGCTGAGGATTAGAATACCGTAATGTTTAAACGGAGGATTACCATACTGGTAGTGTTCTTGTTTTAATCAGTTAAGATCAATTATCACTCGATATGTGTTAATTGTACGAACAAACGTTGTACACCCAAATATCGACAGCATTATATATTTGGTTCACCTGTCAGGTTGACACATTATCATTGTTAAGGTGGTGTTAACTCATGGTAATACCTCAATTAGCACATTCTACGCAAAACCAATCTACGCTAGGATATAGGGGAAATAACAACGTTTAGATACGCCAGTATGATATATACATAATTGCTACACCAAATGCATGTTTTAGGCAAATTGTCTATATACAGTACGCTGAATTTATATGAATTATTCATTAATTAACCATCTCTATATTTGTTATTTACTTACTGACTTAACTTTTGGTTTGTTTGTGTTTTACGTCCTATTAACAGCTATGGTCATTTAAGGACGTGCTAGGTTTTGGTGGTGGAGGAAAGCCAGAGTTCCAGGAGAAAAACCACCGACCTATGGCCAGTACCTGGCTTAACCCCAACATTCAACAGTAGTAAGTAATACAAGATATATCAATATGTATACAAATTAAATGTAGGGTATACGAATTTGATACAGACAGTAGTTGCCGGTGAAGCTGCGCGTCCGGTGGAGTTGCGTGCCTGCTGATTCATGGTCAGCTTTTTTAGAGTGAAGGTTCCAAAGAATGATATTAGAATCAAACTTATTCATTAATATTCTTTGATCATTTGTCAATGTTCGACATATGATCACATTACGATTTTTTTTGATTTTTTTGGGGGGGAAATGGAACGTTATTTTAAAGACACGCAAGTCCACCTGACCTTGCGAATGCCAATGCAAATACGAGTTCAGCTTCGTTTGTACCGGTTCTTTTGGGGGTTTTGTTGCTGCTTCATTCATTACAAATTCATTATTTCCTTAGTGATTTTAAATAATAATTTGTTAACTGCCCTACTCTTAATGTTTACTCAATTAATCAAGCGCAAATGTGTACACCAAAGCTTAAGCGCGCATCTGTACCGGACTTCATCGTATGCAAAGGAAAGGGAAAGGGAACCAGTCCATTGTTGTTTCAGCTCTCTACCAATCATTTTTGCAAACTAGTATGATTGTAGTTAAATGACGTCGTACGTGGTACATGGGAGAGGTATTTTATTTACGTTTTCAAATAAGAGTTTTAATATCACTCAAAAAGCTCTTAACCCGTACCAATCAAATTTTGTTTTTATCTCACCGTCATGAAAATATGCTGGTAGCTCAAATAATGTTTGATAGAAATAATCGTTTTCAATTTGCCTGAGAAACCCGTTGATCCAATTGTACACTGACACTGAAGGTCATACGTGAAGGTTTATAGTAATTGTTGTCGTTCAGCTTCCCTCAATTAAACAAGCCCTTTCCGTTTTTTCACACGGTGCGTATATAAGATGGGAAAGCGTGATTAATCTGTCGCCACGCTAACCCGTTCATTTATTGAATTGATCCAAATATATGTTGATCAGTATGATAACTTCCTTATATTATACACACAGCAATCCTACCTTATATAAACACCTGTCTATGAATCTATTTATTGACACGTCAAGTGTATCAAACCATTTATTGAATTGATCAAACAATAATTTTATGAGTATGATAATTCCCTTATATCAAACACACAGTAAATCTACCGATAAAAACTCCGGTCTATGGATCTATTTATTGAAACGTTAAGTGTATCAAACCATTTATTACAAAGATCAATCTAACGTTTTTGGATAAGTGTGATATTTTCTTTGTCATAAAATTACATCAACGTCACCAACAACCTGTCTGTTGATTTAAACACCCAGCGTGAGGCGTGCTTCAATACCCCTTGCCTCTATAACGCTAATGTAACGTTATCGAATTAGGAGCTTTACGTTTCCCTTGAGTCAATTACAGTTTACATTTCAATCAATCTTGTAACGACTGTTTACACACTTGAGGCTTCTACTCTAGCAATTAGTACAGCCATAGACATTATCTGAGGACGCTTACAGAATCAAAATAGATCAACTATTGTTCGTTATATCAGACACAGGGTCCTCATTTAGTTGTAAATAAGAGATGCGAGCGAGACATAAATCAATATTTTTATACACTGTCAACTTGTTATTTTTTTTCACTTTAAAGTCATAAGGAACCATGTAAAATTTAATTGTATTTTATACGGTACACTTGGGTTATCCCTAAAATAATATGCCACCACAAGTGGTTCGTGAGATGAAGAAAACGTCACTGAATTTACTTGTGGTATGTATCTATCGATTGTGGACATGTTAAGTTTATTTATTTGAAAAAATGTCAATTTTCAAATTTTTTCGACTTTTATTACTCAATTAATGTTAAAAACAAATTAGGACCACGACGAGAGTTATTTTCTGTGAACGATTTTGTCTTTATGAAACTTTGCATAAATATGTATGCGATGAAAACCATGGAAAATTATTAATTAAATGCAAAACAATTTTATGTGTTGATCCAAATAACATTAATTCGTTATGAAAATTAAACTAAAGATCTGAACAATATATATACTAAATATATGTTTCTCTAAAACCGTATGATTATATGAATTCATCAAAAATACAAAAATATTTAGAAGATTGTTCACAATGACCGAGGCTTACCTTATGTTATATATTTCGTGTCGTCGACCTGTCCCAGTGGTTTGATGTTACAGAGACCCAACCACTTGTTCCTTTCATTGAGCACAGAGACAAACTAGTCTGCCCTTGTCAGTTATTCCCATTCGAATAAAGACAGAGACAAAAACAGCGCCAAGAAACCTATGTGTTGTCGTCTGCCACAGATACAAATCAATCGATTCGAATAGTTTGTAGTGGCGCCATCTGTTGTTACGTTTACATACGTTCGATACACCTCTTCCGTTATGGATATTGTTTAGCTTCTCATTGAAACATCCGCTCACTCATAAGGACTTATCAATAGAAATGGGAGTGATGAAGCAAGCTTGTAAAATATCCGAGTCAAACCAGAATGTTTGTTCTGTAGTGCGACTCAACATCATCTTTTTGTGTGCCTTCTGCATGCGTCAGCCCTGGTTGGCAGCGTTAGCATTACGTATTTTTAGACCAATATAAATAGTAGTAAACATGCCAGATACTTTACCTACTGAGGGAAAATATCCAATATTATGACACGAGAGTGCTATACATAGATTATCCTGTCTCGTTAGGATTGGTTTATTAGGTTAATTGAGGGAGAGAGATGATCGGGTGCAATTCACTAGGGAAAAAAATCGACGAAAAAATTTAACAAATTAGTTTTATAATTTTTGATTACGTACAGAGGGAGCGGAGAAGATGACGAAGATATCGATTAACCAGTACACCGTAGTAAATCGGGGTGTCAGTTTACAAAATTGCTCATTTATATTCATTTTTGAAATAAATCTCGGTCAACGGGGGGTCCCTAGCCGTATACAGTCCAGGCATTTAAAAATATTGTCATAAGAAACTAAATCGAAGTTTTGTTGAAAAAGTCTCATAATAATGCACATACTTAATCATCTTTACCAGTTTGGTCAAAATCTACAATAAGAAATGGATCAAAGATGTATTGCTCTTAAACTTTAAAACCAGGATAAAGGGGTCCACTAGTCGAATATTGTACATACATCGTATAACATATCTGATTGATACCAGTTTCACTGACAAGTTTGAACCAATTACGCATTCCACGTTCACTATTCTCAACCAAAACTTACAAAGTCTATGTTGGAATTACGGAAAATATATGAGGAGGACCACTGGTTACTATATATAGGCGAGTGACTTACTAAAGTTGACGTAGTAGACACAGGCCTGTACCGGGGTCGTGGAGTAAAGGGAGGTCTGGACCTTCATAGTTCTCATGGCCCTGTACACATCGCCTGCAAAAACAAAACCGATATATGTTTGTGGTAAAGTAGGGATGTTTTCTGTCCCTAATCAGGAAAATTATTTTTCGAACGAGTGGTTTTAAGTTTTGAAATATGACATGTTAAGGTCCAACAAGCCCCCTAAAAGAGGTAATAGTCACCCTAAATTTCAACCTCATGGCAAGTCATATTCAAATACCTTTATCACAAATCGGAATATATATATGTAATTTAAATACATTGAATTTGTACATGAGCTATTGAAAAGGTATATAACCAGGTCAACGAAGTCAAAAATACGGCATTAAGGCTGATATAATGATAAAAGTTGCTCACCAGATTTATAACATGTCAAGCTCTAAAGCGACCCAACTGAATGTTACGAAAGGACATGCTATTTGAAGATCATTTATATACCTAGGTCATGCGGGGCTTTATTTATCTTTAACTACGTGTGGAGAGGCATACCGGCCTCACTAGAAGGTGATTGTCGTATGGGAATGTACAAAAATCATAGTAAAACGTCCGCGTAACATATTTTACCGATATATATGTGTAAAACTATAGACTTTTGACCATAAATACAACTTAAACTTCATTTAAAATGTCATTTCTTAACATACAATGTTGTAATAAAAGAGCTAGACTTGTTGTAAACATTATCATACTCTTCAGCTTCAATGTTCATAACATGTCTAGCGCATTCATATAATCATATAATGTTATAAAATGGTACATCATCTAAAGTTCATTTATCGATCAAGGTTACTAAGTCATTGTAACAGGAGATTTTATTATGATTTTAGTGGTTTCGCATGGCAACATCTATCTTTACTGGTGGTCGGAATTCCTCTCAGTAGCTAGTAGAAGAGAAATAAAGCTCCGCATGACCTAGGTATTTAAATAAACTTTAGATTATGGGTCATTTCTCAGCACTCAGTTGGGTTGCAAAATAGATTGACATGTTATAAGTCCAGTGAGGTATTTTTATGAAAACATCAGCCTTCATGCCTTTTCTTGACTGCGTTAACCTGGCTATATATTTTTTGTATGTTCAATGTATACAAATAACATATGTGAGTTCCAATTTGTAATTGGGGTCTTTGAACATGACTTACCAGGGGGGGGGGGGGGGGGGGGGGGGGGGTAACTTTTAGGGGCTTGTTGAACCTTAACTTTGTAGAGCAATTAATAAATGTTTTTCTCAAAACACTTGTGCATGCAATGAAAAATACTATAAGAAGGTTGAAGAGCATGATTTTCAAATGTTTGTTTCGTTACATTTGTTTGTTTTATTTATTGTTGGATTAACACAGAGAAGTATATGCTACCCGTTATAATGTTCTAACCTTTCATGTCAAGGACATCTGTTATATAAATATGTTATCTCTTCATGAGGGATTCCAATTTCCGTCATGATTTCAATTAAGTGAAGATATTTACTCTAGCATAGTTTGTTCTTATGTGAACGTAATCATCACATTTAATCTGTACAGATTAACAGACGATCATACGAGACACATTGATATCAAAGCCTTGTCACCCTACAACACACTCAATTCTATTTCAGTTCAAGCTAACAATACTGAACCAAAGTCGATTTTGTGGTGTAAGAAATAAAATGTGAACCTTGACAATGCAGTAACTAGTGATTGTTAACTGCAAATTAACTAAAGTTTAAATATCTTATGAACCGCTTTGAACTATATTTAATGGCACATGCTGTTTTTGAAACATTAAAATACGTTGATGCATTAGTGGTATAACAACACATAAGAACTACATTAAAAATAGGACAATATTACTAGATAAACAAATGCGTAAAAATATTATTTCTATTGCTGTTTCTGAAATGTACAGAGAAACAATAGTTTGTTGTAAACATCCAATATATATCTACACAATGCATACAGAGACAACCTAAGTACCTAAAATAGCCCATTAGCAGCAGATGCAGACGCAATCGTGAGTATTATTGGTAGGAATATTTGATTAACAGGAGATGATGACTTTTAAATTGTGTTTTTAATGTTTGCAACAGACAATTGTTGCTAATATTTGCATCCCATTAGCATAGGGATTCGCTTTTACCACTATGTTCCTAATTTAGAAATAACAGATTAAGAAAGAAAACTGTGTAAAAATTTGCCGATTGATTCAGATGAAAATCAATAACGTCGTAAACACCGCCAATTCCCCTCCCTCTCTTTTAGATTTAAACTATAAATGTATCGAGAGGCTTCAAATGCAAATGTTGTATCAGTTTCGATTTAATTAAAGATATTTTTTATCCAGAGTAGCAACATCCGCATTGCGTAGGAAAATTGAATCTGGTATGATTAAAACTGAAAATATATATAAAAGTTTGTGATTGCAATTGCAATTGTTAACCATGTTGCGGACATATACTTTAATTATTTCTCCATTTAGTGGTTAACTAATTGAGAAATGATCAGTAAATAGTGAACACGTCTTAAGTGCAACGTGAGTATTTGATCAATTAAAACTGACTATTTGATCAATTAAACGTAAATTAAACAAGAATGTGTGATCGATTAGAAGTGACTATTTGATTAATTAAACGTGAATACAACGTCATTGAAATATGAATACATCTTCAGCAAAACGTGAATATTTGTTCAATGAATGTGATTACATGTATAATAAAACATGACTACATGATCAGTAAAATATAAGTACATCATCAGTAGAACTTGAATGCATAATCAGTAAAACGCGAAATCATATTTTAAGAAAATTATTATCAGTGTACCAATTGTGTGAGACAATGTACAATGTACTAGCAGTCGAGCACCAGTAACACCAACGAAGCATTTCTTATTTCAGGGCCAATTGCCACCGATATATAACGCCAAGACACATGGGCACGAAGGCAAGGAAATCCATTTCAATCGATCACAAAACGACATTACGAAGGATGAACTCTCGACTCAGATCGGCGCATGTCTCTTTGAGGAGGTTGTAGGAGTTGTAATTCTGTATTTAAGCATGTCTGATTATACAGCATGTATTCTGATCGATAAAGTCAAGGTTTCGACAGAATTTTATGGGGTTCGATAAGGTCAATGCTACGACAAAATCATATGATGTTTGATAAGGTCAAGGTTACAACAGAAGCAGATGATGTGTGATAAATTCAAGGTTACGACAAAATCGTTGATGTTTAATAAGGTCAAGGTTACGACAGAATCAGGTGATGTTTGATAAGGTCAAGGTTACGACAGAATCAGGTGATGTTTGATAAGGTCAAGGTTACGACAGAATCATATGATGTTCGATTAGGTCAAGGTTACGACAGAATCGTTGATGTTTAATAAGGTCAAGGTTACGACAGAATCGTATGATGTTTGATAAGGTCAAGGTTACGACAGAATTAAGATTTGACAAAATATTATTATGTTCATTAATATCAAGGTAAAGATTAATATGTTTGTACATAAGGTAACAATCAATGTTGGCATTATGTATGTAAACATATGTTGATGGTCATATAAAATCATTATTTAATGGAATATAAGATGCATTAATTATTATGTAACATGATGCGTCCTTGAAGTATAACGGTTGTAAAACACACCAGGCTAACGCTCAAATAATATATACGGAATGCAGCCAAGCTGTTTTAATCAACTTTCAGTTTGAATTTGCATCTTCCCAAGAATCATACAGAAGTTAGGTAACGATAGTCTAATGTATATGTCACACACTATCCTGACAAAATTGAAATTGTCAGTTCCTGGAATGAAACTGAAATTGATGGATTGGTTAGTTAATAGAAGCCTAGTTGGTTTAGAATTCAGAAAACTTCGGTAAAAGAACTTAGGTGTTAGCAAATGTATGTAAATATAGGTATACCAAGATCAATTTGGAAACGGATGTTAATTCAATTTTAGTTTCAAGAATTAAATTTAAGAAAGAAAACGGGTTCTGATGTCGGTGGTAACAAATCTTAAGAGGTTGTGTGTCTGTGGAATTAATACAATTATTACACCTTACTTGCCATTCAACACATATTGTTTGTTAGTGCCAGTGTGTGTTAGCAAGTGTTGATTAGGTTGAGGAAATTTAATGCAAAAATGCTTGCTGACATTTCAGGCCTCGGTTTTTCTCATAAGTCAACATCTAACAAATAACGTCCACGTGATAATTAAGGTCATTAGACGAAGTTAATCTCGAAGTAGATAACTATCCTATCATTTTACGAAACCTTGAAACAGCAGTCCATGACGACCATGTGCATTGTACATTGACCTTCAGTATTACCCATAGAAATTAGAAGATAACAAATTATGAGAGAGGCAAATGCGTAGCGTTCATCGATCACGGCGATCTCTGTAATTCCGTATGTTTAACTACTTAACGCTTCAGTTCCAGTGCTTTAAGTAGGCATAATTACATAGGATAGCGACCGATAGTTCAGGCTCTGTGACAGTAGCCAATTCTCATTTCACATCTCAAAATTAATTTGCATTTTCTCAGTAATTCATTTGGCCCCCCATTTTGATTTCTTTCATATTTTTGCCATATGTAGATACATAAAAATGATAAATAACTGGATGAATGATAATTCATAATTACTACGGATAACCGTAGTGGACCTCCTTGCATAACACCAAGCCGAGTGACGGGGATATCCTAACAAAATGACAGAAAAATGTTACAGGCGAATGATATTTTAAGAATGAATTATGATGTTTAGTGTATAACATTACTGTTAAAATCATGGGTTTATGCACTTACTTTCTGTTTCAACATACGTTTAAACCAATTCGGATTTTAAACGTTTTGGCCGCTAGCAATACCGATGAGTCGTAGAAGGACGAAACAGCTTTTTAAAGCATCTTTGGCATGCTGTATCTATTAATAAAAACAGTGCAGTCCCCTACGTGTGTTTCGTTCATCTTTATATAGTATGCATGCTTAACCAATTAATTGTTATTCAACTTTCAATCTGCACTGCATCAGTCAAATGACCCGATGGGAAGTCCAAC